CTTGACCCAGCTCTACCTAACACACCAAAACCAAAACCCTACAACCAGGTCTCGTGTCTCAGAAAGTAGACTGGACTTACGATGACTCATGTAAATGGCCAAGATACCTTATTATTAAAGTGTGTTTAGCTCGTAGCTACAAGGCTATGGAAAAGTCTGCCTGTGTGTGTGTGTGTGCCTGCAGACACAGTTACGAACCCAGCTACATCAACATTGTTTCCCAAAAACTGGGTCGTGACCCTCAGGTGGGTTGCAAGAGGTTTTATTTGGGGTTTTCTCACATCATGTTTCCCAGGAGTTTACGAATAATGTCTATTGACTTGGGTGGCGAAGGTTTGTGACTTTTAAAATATGGGTGCCCAGAAAAAACACACACACGTTCGGAGTGCGCGACTGTGTTATGATCAGCTGTATGTGCACGAAAGATTAAGGGCTGCAGAGAGGAGAGATGCCTGCTGATGGAGACATCTTGGCAGAGGCGGTAGACAGTAACTCCTGTTACTGTCTTCAGGCACACACATGATGACACACACACACGCACACACAGAGAACAAAACAACCAAATGCATTCAATACACACACCCTTAGAAGTCCTCACATTGTCAGTTTACTCCTGTGATGTTGGCCTGAGGCAGATGAAGGAAAACAGGAAGGAAGGGTTGATGTGTGCGGTTCTTTGCTGCAGAGAGAATTACCTTCTCTTTGTCTGTGTGAAGGGGCTGCTGCCTGTACCATCTGTGCAACGGATATGATGGCACACACATGTTTTTGCGTATCTTCAAAATCCAAGATATTTTGCCATGATTTCATATCTTTTATGGGGTGAAGGGAAATTAATATATTTTCTAAAATATTTTTTTACTGTGTGGCCTTAGGAGGAAATGATGGTGGCAGCTCTGGCCCTCGGCTCATTTGAGTTCGAGACCCCTGGTTTAATTTTGATAATGAAGAGAAGTATTTGCATTTGAGATGTAAATAAACAAAGCTGGTCAGCAAACTAGATTCAGGGCAACAGACGGCTACACAAATACAGAAGCTGTGATGAAGTTTCATTTCCGTCACACGTGTCAAACTCAGGCCAAAGTGAGTTCCCGTAGTATGGCTTGACCTTTCTACTCACACACATATATTTGATCTCTGCAGCAATGAGCTACTATACAAATGACTAGGCTAAGTTAAATATAGATTTATATTTATATATACTGAACATATTCTACAGAATGCACATATATACT